CCCCCAGACCCCATTTTTTCCCCTCCCCACCCCCATTTCGAACCTTTAATTCCCTTTTTCTGGCCCCCCCGCGGCAGGAGGAGAACATCTGCCTGCACTGGGCGTCGTTCACGGGCAGCGCCGAGATCGCCGAGGTTCTGCTCAACGCCCAGTGCGACCTGCACGCCGTCAACTTCCACGGGGACACGCCCCTGCACATCGCGGCCCGCGAGAGCTACCACGACTGCGTCAGGTATTGGGGCTGGGGGCTTCTGGGGGGTCTGGGGGGTCTGGGGGTGTCAGGGGACACGGGGGGTGACAGGGACACAGGGGACGCGCCCCTCAGTTTGGGGAAGGGTCTTTGGGATTTGAGGAGGGGTCTCTGAATTTGGGGAGGGGTCCCTGAATTTGGGGAGGGGTCTCCAGCCCCCTTTCTCCCCCCCCCAGCCTGTTCCTGTCCCGGGGGATCCCATGGGGGGAATTTGGGATGGAATCGAGAGAATCCCGGTGAATTTGGGGTGGATTTTGGGGGGTCCCAGGAATTCGGGGAGGGGTCCCTGAATTTGGGGAGGGGTCCTGAATTTGGGGAGGGGTCCTGAATTTGAGGAGGGGTCTCCCTGCCCCCCCAGCCTGTTCCTGTCCCGGGGGATCCCATGGGGGGAAAATCCCGAAAATTCGGGATAGAATCGAGGGAACCCCGGTGAATTTGGGGCGGATTTTGGGGGTCTCAGGAATTCGGGGAGGGGTCCCTGAATTCGGGGAGGGGTCTCTGAATTTGAGGAGGGGTCCCTGAATTTGGGGAGGGGTCTCCACCCCCTTTTCTGCCCTTCCAGCCTTTTCCTGTCCCGGGGGATCCCATGGGGGGAATTCGGGATGGAATCGGGGGAATCCCGGTGAATTTGGGGCGGATTTTGGGGGTCTCAGGAATTCGGGGAGGGGTCCCCTAATTTGAGGAGGGGTCTCTCTGCCCCCCAGCCTGTTCCTGTCGCGGGGGGCCGACCCCGAGGTGCGGAACAAGGAGGGCGATTCCCCCCTGGACCTGACCCCGGAGCGCTCCGAGGTTTGGGTGGCGCTGCAGCTCAACAGGAAATTGAGGCTGGGGGCTGCGGGCAGGGCCCTGCACA